ATGGGGACTTTCCACGGAGTTTGTCGAACATCTTGGGTTCGCGGGTGATGGTGTTGCGAGGTGGGAGGTAATCGAGAGAGGACTAGCGGGGTAACTGCGCGCCTTACTTTCCATTGTTGGTGCCTATTGCGCCTTCTACATCTAGGATACGTGACATGTCTGCATGCTGACTATACTGTCTTCGCCCATGTTCGGCACGAACAGGTGTGCAGATTACAATAGAAGAAGACAATCGACTCGAAAGATCTAGCATCAATGTACGCTTCAGGGTATTCGGTTTCCCTCATGATCGAGCTGGCAGTGCGATCATGCTCCGATGAGTCGGTCTTCACCCGAAAGATAATGTAGTTTCCCTATCGGTACCCCGACATTTCGAATGATTCCGTAAGCCGTCACGTTGTGGAAGAAGCTATCAAATCTGTTAGCAACCCAGTCATGTATTCAAGAGACTCAAGACCACTTACAAGTTCGGTAGAACAAACTCTTGCAAGTAAGTCAAGCCGTTCAATTCGAAATGCCACATGTTTGGCACGTCGATCGTGACGGGCATGTCTACTTTCCCAGCGAACGCCTCGGGTTGCGCCTTCTCGAAGCATTCCAAAGCCTGCTCAATCTGTGTGTATAGATCTTGGAAAGAGGCCGCGTCGAACCCGAACGTGGGTACTGCCATGCCACCAAGACGTTCAAGCGCTTTCGTCGCAGTGGTAACTTGGAAGAAGATTTGAAGTGAGAGTGGCTGCGAAAAGATTCTTTAGCTATTGCTTTCGTCTTCTAAGGGGGAGGTGAGCAAGATACTTACATGCATATCCGGTGCAAGTCTGGCACTGAGGACTTTCGAGTGCGGATATCCGTTCTCATCGCACCACTGTTCACCCTTCTTCAAAACCACCAAATGGTTCTGCATTGCTTTCCGCAGCGGGGGTACGCATAGTTCGTAGAGAGGAACGGTCGACGGCATGTTGATTGTGTTGTAGATTTACCTAGGTACCCTTGAAGCCATGTGGGAGAGGGGGACTTAAGTGTACCCGCATCACCGATCACTTGAGGCGTAGGCCCGCTCGTAGAATGTCCCGCATCGACCCGATGCTAAGGCCCGAGAAGCCGTTTCGCATTCTCGGTATAATCCAATGATGCGGTGTCAGTCACCGTTGTAGGCTGCCACGTTTTCAACGCCTGCCAGCCCTGGCGTCCTGTTCCATGCTCCATGCTGATTCCCACGTGGTGTGGCTTGCCTTCGGATCGACGGATCGTTACAACATATTCACAGAGATCTAGATTCATGAAGCGCATGACGCTGATGATGGGAATTGCCTCTATTGTCGGCTACAGACATCCATACGCGGAGGCCTCCCAGACTTTTGATAGTATCGCCCGCACCTTCTCCCCGATCTCGTCGTTCGTTGAGCCAGAGTTAGCTCGCTTTTGCTCCGCTTGCACTATCAGCAGCTTCTTCTGGAGATGATCCAACCCCTGCTTTACGACTATGCGGCCCACCACCTTGGATTCCTCACTGTCCAACACGAACCGGCCCACTTGAAACTTGCTGTCGCCTAACTCGACGCAACTTTCACTGTTGCCTTTCTTGATTTGGTTGTCGGTTGTCGCGTATTTTGCTTGTGCCGCGACGTAAAGTGTGCAAAGAACGTCCAGCTCATGCAAAAGAGCCATGGCGCGCATTGGGTCTGAAGAACATGTGCTGCACTCCATCATTGCACTATACAGGTTTGATAGCTTCTGATCGAGCTCCAGAACCTTCTCTAGTGTATTGTAGTCTACAGCGGGATCTTGTAGTTCGATGCCGATTGGGTTCTTGGGGAAGCATTCAGTGTTTGTCGATGATCTCCAACACATGCACTGCCTAGTCTGGTCGCTCGACAGAGGGCCCTGTATATGAAGTTAGCAAAATTGAAGTAATACACTTGGTTATTGAACGCCGTACCCTGATGTCCATATTAACAATTACAACAAATATAAGGTCGTTTAGGAAGAGGACGATTGACTTGCAAGATGGTACATATGGAGACATTCACCAAACGTGATGCTATTATCATGTATATCTTTCTCTCCTTTCCCTCCGTGCCAATGCTCCGATGCTCCTCCAATCGGATCATCACACGACGAGCGCGCAAACAAGAAGCAATGACTATTGTTTGGTTTCATGCGTAAAAACAGCCCTGCAGTAACAGAGAACGGGGGGTTCATTGATGAAACAGACACTCTATCCCGAGCTCAGATCGGCCCAGTTGTCTGTGGATCTCACGTAGGAGCGATCAGAGGACCTATCACGCACAGCATACCGCATGTAGTAATGCGGGGTATTGAAGCCAATCTTCCGGGCTATCGAAAACAATGCAGTAGTTGTGCGTGCGGGTTCTGCGGGAGATGGGCCCAGACATCCCCAAGCAGATCACCCGGACACTTCTTGCCGAATTTACCGTGCGAGGCGGTTGAGAAACACTGAAGCCAAGGCTTACATTGGACACGTGACGCAGAGCAACGAGACTTCTTTTGCGAAATCTTCTCTTCACGAGTATAGTAAGATGAATAGAGTGCGCCTTTGACTCAGACTGCGGTCTGGTCCTGGTTCGGGCTGGTCGTTGAGATGGTACTTTGGTTCACGGTATGATTGCGATAGCTTTGATGACAAGTACAATGAAGGAATGGTAAGATCGATATAGCTAGCAAAAAGACCTCGTAGTTCTCCGTGGGTCTATCTATTCAGAATCTTTATTTCATACGGGATCAAGATAACAGAATCCTTTCGCAAGAGCAAGTTTGTGTTTGGCGACCGGGTGCCAGCCTACTGAACCACGACGTCATGCACACTAAGTTCCAGCGCCGATCTCGGTCGGACCCACAACCCAAGACACGGAGTTCCCCGCGCGCAACGAACGCGCCACATTGAGGCCTTAGGGGGTTCAGTACTGTAAACTGCTGCGGCTGTCGCCCAGCCCAACGAAAAGGGGCGCAACGATTTCTCCAGTCCATACCTAGGTAAGGTTCATTCACTTTGACCCTTTATTCATTCACCCACTTTGACCACAGCCTCGATCGCGACCGGATACTTCCAACGCTTCCAGGCACAGAGACAATGAGTACCTAAAAATACGCCAGTGTTTCGGCATCTACCCGCCATCGAGAGCAGACGCTAACAAGCTCCATGCGCGACATCGTAATTGAGATGGGCAAGGAAGCTGTGATCAAATCCCCGTCCGTACTGTTGGTAGGGCCAAGATATATGCGCTGAACGAAGTTTGTTGTTCTCATTACCAGGGAGTGCCAGCCTTACCCGTTCGTAAGTTCGATCCCGAGGCTGCCCCCGACTACCGTTTCACAACCACTACCCGCGACGATTGAACTTGCGACTTATAACGATCGAATTACGTGTTAGAGGACTGGCGTCTCATGCTGGACCTTGCGTGAAGGAAAGGTCGGCGTAAACCAGATTGCGCGTTGGCAACCTTAGAAGTGTGAGGCTTGTCAGCACCGGACCGACTTGACCCTCACACAATACCGTATGCAGAACCGGTTGGCTGACACTAGCGAAGCAACAGCGTGTCCCGACCTTCCGCCGTCATGAGTATCCTGGTCGACTTACTCCAACGTTCATACAAGCATTGCGGAGTGGCGCCTCAGCTTATGGCTGGGGCTCTTCGACGTCATCGAAATGCTTCTCTATCAAGCCACAAGGGTTGTCTCGGCGATGAGTATGAAGTACGAATACGCAATCACAGGATTAGGTACGCCGTACAGGTACACTAGCCCAACTCCCCCTTAGTCGACTGTCCGTCGGCGTGCGATGATCGACGGAAACTCCCAGAAGCGAGGCTGAAGTGTCACTGTGTCAGCCACTTCAACGCGCACAGTCTATGTCTGTGCCCTTGATCTGCATAACAGATGAGGACCTGGCCCCGTCAGGCCTCAAGACAGGTCTGCTCCAACGGCGCTGCTTGTCCAGACAGGGTAGCAGAGACCTGACATGCGCTGGCTTTTACTTGCACGGCGTGCTATCGCGGAGACGGGACGTCAACATTGCATCACAGTTATTACCAGAAGATTCTTGGTGGCCGGACACAAATGCCGCTGTGAACGTTTGAAGACAGCTGCTCCGCCGTTCTAAGGCACCCACAGTCATAGCATGCGCACCGAATGCGAAAACTCAATTTCTGGGTTGTCGGTTCTCCTACGATGGTACGAAGTTTGTTCATACTTCTGGTCGACCATGGATCCCCAGGAGTGTACAATTACGATACCGGTTAATAGTAGTCCCCTGCCAATTTATCAAGCAAGTGAATGTCTACATCTGTATCAGATAGCATCACATAAGCTCGTGATTATCGCACTGTCAACATCACCACACTCTCGTTCCAAGTTTTTCACGTTCATCTGTTCAAGGTCAACTTTCAGCTTCTACACAACCGACGTATCTCTATTCTCTTCGCGAAGCTACCATCATGGATCCAGCGCGTCCGGGAACCCGCCGGCTGCGCAACTCTTGCGATATCTGCACTCTATCGAAGCTCAAATGCAGTCGCGAAAAGCCAGTCTGCCAACGTTGCGTAGACCGTGGCTGCCAACAAGACTGCAATTACAGCGTCGCACGCCGCCCGGGAAGGCGGCGTCAAACATCTATAGTCTCAGATGACGCCGGGTCGTATGGTCAGGATGCCAGTGCCAATGGGTTACGGAAAAGGCGTGGAACAGCACCGCTGACACCTTCTTCATCTTCCATGGACTCGCTCTTTTCGACAAAGAAGCGTCACGATTCGACACGGAACACCCCCCAGCAGATCTCGAGAGAAGCAAGCGACGGAGGGGACGGGCGTTTGCTTATGAAGTCTCCAGGGATGGACTTGATGGAGTCGTTCACCAACATACCCATGGAACTATCACACAGTGGCGACGGAGTTGACTTTGCACCTATGGACAGTCTTTCGCTATGGGAGTGGGGTGAGAGTGGAATCGACATCAATGCAACGAATAGCCATCACCCAGGCGCCATGTCGCAGATGTGGGACATGTCGTCAGGTCAGACCATGCTCAGTGGCATGGACTTCGAACTCAGTAACGATATCGGGGGACCAGGACAGGAGCCATCACCACCACTGAGCCATACGAGCCAGCAAAACTTTTTCCAGGATAACCAAACTTCTCTTATACCCCCAGCAGACTTCAGCAGAGATTCGAATTCCGCTTCTCCAGCTGCTTCAAATTTCATCTTCGACCTGTCCAAGGATGTGGATTGCAAATGCTCCACTCAAATCAGCCAGCTCATCTATTCTGTCAGTCTGCGGCGTGCGACAGCAGTTCCACTAGACGTTGTTTTCGCTGTGGAACAACAGCTCAGCCGGACCAAAGAAACAATCACCGCATGCGCGAACTGCTCTCTCGGCTCACCATACATGAGCATGATGCTTTGCACTGCCATGAGCTGGGTGATTGAGCATCTAGAAACTTACATGCGCGAGGCAACAGTCAACACGCCCAACGGCCAAATGACGTACCTGACAATCAGCGGCTTGACGCTGAGTAAAGACATGTCTCAGTCGTGTTCTGAGGCATTGGTCAAACTCCGCCTCAGACGAGTTGTGCAAACAGCACGAGAGTTGTCAATGTTCAACATGGAGACGAAGAGCACGCTTTTGGGAGGACTGCGGTCGGTGGCGGCCGAGACTGGAGCGGCAGCGCAACAGATGTTTGGTATGTTGGAAATGAGAGGTGCCTTTTAGACAAAGAAAAAGCTTGCGATTCAAGAGATGCCAGCACCACGTCTAGGAGAAGATAGATATGAGGAGTTCGATGGTAGCGCTGGTAGCACCTCGTGATATTTAGAGCAGATACTTCCAAATACCTTAACATCAAAGCTTTTATTATATTTGCATTACGGACTCTGATTGGCCTCCGAGCATGTGGTACTCGGTACATTTGCCTGACATTAACGCTTCGGTGATACAGATGCAATGTCCAGCTGACAGGTCAGCTTAGGCGCAAATGTGATAGACAGTAGACTGATGTAGGCGATATTCATCGCCTCGCAAGCGGCCGCCGGCTCAGGAACTGTTCGCTTTCGCATGATGTAAATCAAGACCCTTCCAAGTTTGGTTTCATATGGGAAAGAGTCTTCACTGCCCTTCAAGAGAGGTGCATTCGCGTAGAATCTCGGCACTTTGACTGATGTCTGTAGATATTGCTATACACCGAACCCTATAACCTGGGGAAATGCTCCGGGGTAATTGACATGCTTCACTGTCTATCACTTGAGCAGAGTCCACACGCACGTGGCTTTGACCCGAATCGCATACCTTGCCATCTTTTGTATCTTTCGCTGAAGAAAACAAGAGCTTGCAGGAATAACCAAACGGAATCAATCCTAGAGCTTACAAGCCATTCCAGCGCAACCACTCAAGGTATGCCAAATTACTTTCACTGCTGCCACGAATAGGGAGAAGGCTGATCAGATCTAACAGATGCAGCTTCGATATGGGCTATCCAATGTCTCTCTCAGCAAACAGTCAATATACGCCATTGTCGTAGCCTTCGCCGCCCTCTGGGTCGTGCAGAGCTTCATCCGAGCATGGTGGCGCCTCCGGCACATACCCAGCGCGCACTTCACCGCGCCATTCTCCTACTTCTGGATTGGACGCACCACATACAGTGGCCGTCAATACTGGATACTCCGCGACCTACACACCAAACACGGTCCTCTCGTGCGCGTCGGGCCCAACGAAGTCGTTACCGATGACCCCAACATCCTGCGCACCATCTCTGCAGCGCGCAACCATTACCCTCGCAGCGATTGGTACGAAGCTGGCCGATTCAACCCATATCATGGTAACTTGTTCACGACTACCGACCCGGCAGAGCATAAGAAGGCGAAAATGAGGTCCATGGCCGCATACAACGGGCGCGAAACTCAAGGTCTCGAGGGTTTGATCGACGACCAGGTCAAGACGCTTATCAGCGTTGTCCGAAACCGCTATGTGGTGTCTTCGCCAGGAAAGGGCCAGCCTCTGCTGGATCTAGCGGCCATCACGAAATACTTCACCATGGACGTCATCACACGGATGGGTTTCGGCAAAGCGGTTGGCTACCTCGAGGACGAAAAAGACCACTACGAATTCTTGGGCACAGTAGACGAGCTTTGGCCGAGGATGTCGACGGTGGCTGACATACGTTGGATCCGCAAGATTGCATTCTCGCCTTTCGTGCTCAGATTGGTCGGACCGAAGAGCAGCGACAAAAAGGGCTTCGGGGCACTGATGGGGTAAGTACCTGGCTGAAGTTGATTCAACTTACAGATTTCTGTTCTGGGCAACCTCACTGACTTTCGACCAGTTTCGCAGCTGATCAGGTCAGCCGTCGCTTTGCTGCACCCGATGGTGGTAAAAATCACAAGGACTTTCTGGCGAGTTTGATGGCTCGCGGCTTCACAGAGGAAGAGTGCCAATCCGAGGGCCTTTTTCTCCTACTCGCTGGAAGTGAGAGCACCGCTAACGCCATGCGCTCCATTCTCATACACACCATAAGCTCGCCCGCCGTGTATAATCGACTCTCTGCTGAGATCCGGGACGCGGTACGGACGGAGAAGGTGTCCTTCCCCATTACCTTGGAGCAGGGAAAGAAGTTGCCGTATCTGCAGGTATGTCTCATTGAGATCCCGCCCAAACGTGTTGATCTTGCCCGCTGACATATATCTCTTTTTTCCAGGCGGTCATCTACGAAGGCCTACGCATGCGCCCGGCCATCCTCGGCCTCTTCCCAAAACAAGTACCCGCAGGCGAATATCCAATCTTCCACGGAAAGATGCTTCCCCCAGGGACCGATGTATGCATGAACATGTCAGCCCTGCTGCAGTCAACAGATCTGTTCGGCGCCGACGCGGCCGTGTTCCGACCAGAACGCTTCATGGAGGTAGGCGACGAGAGACGCAGGCAGATGGAGCAGGACGTTGACATGTCGTTTGGCTACGGAGGCTGGGTATGCGCGGGCAAGAACATCGCTATGATGGACATGGTGAAGGTGGTCTTCGAGGTACGTTCGCAACGTGCGCGATGGTGTTGGTGTGACCGTCGCTAATCCTGGCAGATGCTTCGCGTGTTCGACTTGCAGCTTGTGCGTCCATTTGAGCCGTGCGATACGATCAGCTATGGCGTGTTCCTTGACAAGGGGTTGATGGTGAAGGTGTCAGAGAAGAAGTGACATGGAGACGTTCTGTGTTGACCGCTGGGGCAGGCGTGGCAGGCTCGGGGGCAGGCGGCTCGGAGGGCTGATTGGAGGATCTGGCGGGGCCATCACCCAATGAGGCAGTTCAGCCGACGGGCCTCATCTCAATGGAGTTTGCTTCTGCGAGAATATGGCTATAAGGCACCACTAAAAACCTGTCTTTGAACGATTTCCTGCTGCTGCACTATACCAATGCATGCAAAATCTTTAGGCTATCCGTCATCCTTTCTTGATAATTCCTTCACTCTCTCCAGCGATGCAAATATGACTAACGTTTCCCTTACGTCTTCTGTCACGAATGAACATGTTCACAACGCACTTTCCGTTATTGCCTTTCTTGAGATGCGCTTCGTCGTTTGCACATGTGAAGATAATGTCAGTGGAGTGCAAGCATCGTCGTTTACCCTTTTGATCGAAGCACTCAAGCATGTACCGGATGCACGTCGCGTGGGCCTACGGATTAGTGACGCATGCTGTTGCGAAGAGTGCAAGTAACATATGGTCAGCATAGAACTGTCCTGTGAAATTTCTGTACGATTATACGGTTGCGCGTAGCGACTCGAACGCACTTCAACGATCGAACAGCGACTGGGCGGCATGGTGGACACTTTAGAAGCATGTCACAGGAGCATGGAGTCCAACGCTGTTAATTACTGCATTTATTCGACTATCTAATTTCTTCCTTATCATCCTCCCTTGAGTACGATACAAGATGACTACCACGCTTGAGTGCGTTTCAACTTCAACGGCAAACCATCCTTGGGCTTGATAGCTGTAATACCAGCAGGTTGTGGCACATAGGTTTTATCTGCCATCTCAAACTCATAGCTACCCACAAAGGCGGAGATGAAAGCCCGTAACTCGACCTTTGCATAGCCCGCTCCAATGCACTTACGCGGTCCATGCAAGAAGGTCATGAAAGCGTAGTTGGTGTGTGCATTGCCATGATTGTTCGCTCGGCCGCTGTCTTCATCGATCCACCGACCCGGTTCAAAAGTATCGGCAGTCTCTCCGTAGAAAGACGCAAAGCGATTCATAGCCGCGGGAACAATCCACAGACGTGTTCCGGCTGGGATGCGGGTACCGACAACGGTAGTGTCTTCTACAGCGACGCGTGATGTGATCGGCGAGGTGGGCATGAGACGTAGCGTTTCGTTGACCACGGCGTTTAGGACGGGAAGGGTATCGAGAGTTGCAAAGTCGCTGAACCTTTCTGCATCGTTGTCGAAAAAGCGGTAGGGAATGTATTCGCGAATTTCGGCACGGAGCCGATCTTGCCAGGTGGGGTTGATGGCAAGTAGCCACAGAGCCCAGGTAAAAGTTGCTGAGGTAGGCTCGTATCTACTTGACTGTTAGCAGCAGTTTCTATCATCCATCGGTGCACGTTGACGACATACCCTGCTCCGATGATTGTCAGAAGCTGACCAACCAATTCATTGTCCGTTAGCGTTTCACTCTGTATGAGCTGCAATAAGAGGGCTTTTTGGCCGGTGCCTTCGGCAACTTCTTTCTTCCTCTCTTCGACAAAGGCAAAGCAAAGCTGTCGCAGCTTATTGCGAGCGTCATCAAGGTCCCGGTTAAATTTCCGTGGGAGGAGCTGTAGCACCCAGGCCGGCAAAAAAGCGTTGGCTATGAACAAGTGACGAACGCTTTCTTTGCTGCCAGTCAACAGCTCATATAACTCCGTGAGCTCATTCGGTTGACGTAGTGTGTCGAAATCCTTGCCCAATGCAGCGAGACCAATAGCATCAAGAGTACCTTTATTACCCCAGGGTAGAATATCCACCACGGTGTGCTTTGCGTCAGCTGAGGCGGTAGACCGTTCCATCGTTTCCACCATATCAATGGCCTTTGACCAGAAAACGGGGCAAAGATCTTGAACGGTTCGATGATTGAATGCCGGCTGAATGCGTTTACGAAGATATTTGTGCTCATCGCCTTCCAAGATGAGGAGAGACGGCCCCAGGATTCGGCTCATCAGTCGTCGAGACACCGCTGGCTTGGTGAATGAGTACGCGCGACGAACCAGCACCTCAGAGAGGGCCTCGTTGCTGACTACCAGGATATGATTGACGTTCATGAATCCGCGGAAGTGGATCAGACCCTGGTTCGGTACCGAGTTTGCCATATCCAAATAGGCTTGTCCACGGGGGTTGGTGAATTGAAGGAGCCCATGGCCTAAAAAAGGTAGTCCGCCCTGTAGCAACACTGTCAGTCATGCACCAAACATTTCATGGTAATATCTTACTTTTGCTGTGGGAAGATGTCGAAACGGGTTGAAAAGACGGGGGTGGATTTCGACCTTGTACACCAGGTAGATCACATAAACCACAGCCAGCGTCGCACAGAGCGCTGGTAAGGACAATGGAATCGAGGCAAATCGAGAGGAGATCATTTCTGTATACATGGCGAAGGTATGAAATGCTGTAGGAACCGTTACACGAAATGTGGGATATGTACACAGATTACGCCTGCGATCCTGATTGCGAATGACATCTGTTTTGCTAGGACGGGTTTTTAGTTCATTGTGTCCAACATCAATTTGATCGTCCCTGCGCCAACTCAGAAAAGAGTTCCAGGCTTAGAAGCGTCGCGAGGCGGACAAGACGCGATCGTTGGCGAACGGCTGACGTTGGCGAAGCTGGTCGGGCTAGATGCGGGTGGAACGCTGGAGGCAATTGCCCGGAATTTTGCAACCCAAAAACCCGATGGGTTGAAGAGAACCACCCGACAACGGCATGATTACATTCTCACCGTAACGCGATGATCTTGTGATAGCTCAATTGTACCAGTCTCGTGCTAGCCTGCTGCAGCGCAAGCTGGTATCGAAATCGCGGGCGGTGAAGGCAAGCGAAGAAGAAGAAGTCGAAGAACCCCCCATATCTTGATAAAGCCATTAATCTTATTTCTCCCACTGTCAGCTCAATTACTATCATCTCTCCAATATTTACTCCAGAAGAATAACCAGCTGAAACATGACGGAGATGCAAGAGAGACTTTTCATCAACAACGAGGTGAGGACCGAGACAGTACAAGACATGTCGCGGTATGGAAGCTAATGACCAAATGCAGTACGTCGCATCGCATACTAGCGAGAGGCTCACGGTGCACAACCCGTACGATGGAAGTCTTGTTTCAGACAAGATCGTAATAGCGCTAGAAAAGGATGTCGACTTGGCTGTGTCGGCAGCACAGGCGGCGTTCCCAACATGGCAGGCAATGACAGGCGTACAGCGCAGTGCGCTTATGCTCAAGTACGCCGATCTGGTCGAGAAGCACACTCAACAGATAGCCCAGCTCGAGTCGCAGTGTATGGGAGCGCCCATGATGCTGGCGACGAGGGTGGTGGGGAACCATGTGGCCGCTTTCCGGTATTACGCAGGTTTGACAGATAAAATCGGTGGCACTACTTACACTGAAGATGGCGATGGCTTCTTCAAGATGGTGTTGCAGGAGGCAATTGGAGTATGCGCAGGCATCGGAGCGTGGAATGCGACGCCCATCTTTTCGGCGTTGAAGGTGAGAATGCCGCCTATGTTCATTCTTCCAGGCGATTGCTGACTGGAGTGCAACAGATCGCGCCCGCTATCGCAGCAGGTAACACATTTGTGTTCAAGGCGTCAGAGAAGTCGCCGCTGGGCGCGTTGTACCTTGGACAATTGTTCTGCGAGGCTGGCTTTCCCCCAGGCGTGGTGAACTTTGTGTCCGGCGGGCCAGCGACGGGCGCTCTCCTCGCATCGCACATGGGCATTCGCAAAATCTCCTATACGGGGTCCGTCAGCGGCGGCCGTGCAGTACAGGATGCGGCCACAAAGAGCAACCTGAAGCAAGTCACACTCGAGCTGGGAGGCAAGTCGGCAGCACTGGTCTTTGACGATGCCCACCTCGAAACAGCCATTTCGCATTGCTCGCAGACATTCGCCCTCAATGGTGCTCAGGTGTGCTCCGCAGCCTCGCGAGTGCTTGTCCACCGCGACATCGCCGATGCCTTCATTGCGGGCATCAGCACTGCTTTCAAGCAGTTGGCTGCAGCCCACGGCGCGCCGGCGGAAGCCTTCTTTGGCCCCTTGGTTGACAAGCAGCATCGTCAGCGAGTGCAGGCCTTCGTGGATGCTGCCCGTGACGAGGGTGTCAAGGTAGTCGCAGGCGAGGTGCCTGACCACCCCACCGCCCTATTCATGCCGCCAACGATTCTGATCGATCCGCCAACCAACAGTCGCGCATACCGCGAGGAGATCTTCGGGCCTGTCTTGGCTGTGAAGACCTTTTCCACAGAGGAGGAAGGTCTTGCACTTGCCAACGATTCCTCGTACGGGCTCGCCGCTGCTGTCTTCACCTCCAGTATGCCGCGTGCTCTGCGTGTGACCCGAGCTCTCCATGTCGGCATGGTGGGAGTTAATAGCCCTGTCCTGCCCTTGAGCCAGCTGCCATGGGGCGGATGTAAGGAGAGTGGCTACGGGCGCGAGGGTGGAATGGCTGGTCTGGAAGAGTATCTGCAGTCCAAGACGGTTATGATCAGCATGAAGGACCCAACTTCCGCCAAATAGATTAGTTCGTAGCGTTATAGCTCTGACAATCACACTTCTTTACAACTTCTCGTTCGGTGTACTGCTCCTGACCTTTGCGTGAAGTAAAACAAGAAGCTAAGTGCGAAGCTGGCTCCGTTTTACTGTGCACTCAACTGACAGGAGAATGCGTCTGGTCTTGTTCCGCGCTCGCGGCGTACGTATACGGGAGCAAAGCACATGGCCAAGGTGAGATCATTGTATGGTGCCACAGATGCTGAGTCAAGCTGAGGACACTGCAAGGCATAGATGTCGAGGTTTGATGTGCACAGAAAAGCGTTGGCGACGTACTGACTGCGTGAATGTTCGCATCAAGAGGTGCAGCGTGCCAAGTCTCGGAGCTTCGCTAGCCGAAGTGGTCAAAGCTCTCAAATCGCCAGCCATCCGCAACATTGCTACAAGCACCGATCT